TAAAGAAAAACATGATGTCAAGGTACTCGTGCCAGTAGGTGATTGGTAGTAAGTCTAAGGAGATCAGTCTCTCTTTGTACGTTTCTCCACACACGTATGGTAATTTCAAAATGAACTTTGTAGCTCGTCGTTGGATGCGTTCTGTCCTCGTAATTAAGTCGATCGATTGTGGTGACCAGACTTGAGTGGCGTAACCTAGCGTTGAGCGAACAATTGATAGGTACAGTGTGCGGCGTATCTTAACATTTGTAATTTCCGTTGCAGCCCTACGCAGGAAACCAAGCATTTTGTTTGCCTTCGCACAGCGATCGAGGGTATGGTATGACCAGTTTAACGTGTCCGTAATCCATATACCTAAATCTTTTTCGGTGACCACCAGGGACTTGTTATTGATATTATATTCATATTTGATAGGATTCTTTTTCCTTGTTACACGCTGACATTTGCATTTGTCTTGGTTGAAGACAAGGCCAGAAGATGTTGACCAGTTCTCCAAACTACTCAGGTCACTTTGTAAGGAGATGGCATCGGAAGTAGAATCAACTTTCTTAAATAGTTTCGTGTCATCGGCGAAGGAGGCGATCTTGGAGTGCTCTACTGCATCCGGCAGGTCGTTCGCGTACAGCAGAAACAGTATGGGACCTAATATTGAACCCTGTGGAACTCCTGACAGGACAGGTCTCGCGGAGGATGTAGCTCCTAGCACAGTCACACGTTGCTTGCGATTTATCAGATATGACTCAAACCAGCGAAGGAGTTTACCAGAGATGCCATAGACGTTCCTTAATTTGCTTATCAGATATTTATGGTGAACTTTGTCGAATGCCTTGGACATGTCCATGTAGACTACATCAGTTTGCTTGCCACCATCCAGAAGTGAACCAATATAGTCAAGAACCTCTAATAGCTGAGTTGTACACGACTTTCCGGGAATAAAACCATGTTGGCTATCATTGATTAATTGCAACAAATGATCACGTATATTTCTCAGGACACAACGTTCTAGTACTTTCGATAATATGGAAAGAAGAGAGATAGGTCTATAGTTCTCTACTTGGCTCTTTTCGCCTTTTTTGTGTACCGGAACAATGTTTGCTAATTTCCATTCATCAGGTATTTCGCCACAGCTTAACGACTTGTTGAAAATTTTGGTGAGGGAAGGTGCAATCTGCCACGCAGTTTCTTTTAAAAGTCGAGATGGTATTCCGTCAGGTCCAGTAGCCTTGGTGGTGTCTAGCGCTAAGAGTGTTCTTGCGACTTCTTCTATTGTTAGTTGGAGGTCTGACTCAGTTATGTGCTGATTGCGCAGATCGTATAGTGATCTTGCGGTTTATAATTGGTCGTTAATTTACTTCGATTGCTCATTAATTCATCATGAGTCATTGAGTCATGAGATCAAAATCAAATGATCTATGCATAATTGCATATCCGTATTTTTGTAGATTTTGAACATTTTTCAAAGGTAGGAGAAATCACTACACGCTATGCCGTTATAAAACTACGGTAAACTTTTTAAAAATTTACCCCCCCCCCCTCCAAATAAAATCTATTCCACCGCCCCAGGTCGACTAAGAAAAGGCTTATTGAATAGTAAATATTCTCTAAAGTTCAGTGCCTTTTTAAGGCAAAAGTTTGTTTCAAATAGGTAAAATGAAGGCCGTCAATAACTTGTATTCTAATATAGCCTGCGAACAGGCTCTCTTTGAACTCTAATTCAATTCAAAGAGCCTGTTCGCGGACTATGTCTAATGTGACTAATTTTTGACAATCATTAGACCAATGGTTGAGGCTTTTTAACAATCATGCAGTCATAGAGATGCAGTCTAAATGATTCATATACTAAATGAGTAAATGATCAATTGTGTAATGAAAATCCTTTAAAGCGAGTCCTGGTTTTTATAGCATGATTTCTATTGCCATTATCATGAAACCGCCTATACTCCTATAGGAAAATAATTGAAACCTGAAATAATTTTACGGGCGTACGTTTCTTGACATGTTATAAACAGGAAATCCAGACTGAATGATCTAAACCAGAAATATATGTCTGGCTATCATCAGCCAATAATCACATGATTACTTTAAATTTGCTGTGGAAAATGGCCGGAAATTGATTTTCCGGGCTTTCTTGCTATATTGAGGGGGGGGGCAAGGGTATTTTCGTGACTCGTGATTAGCAATTATTAGTGATTCGTGATTTAAAGTAATACCATTCCGTGAATCGTGATTAATATGCGCGCCGTGAATCGTGAAGAGCTAAAAGGCGAGCTAGGGTCTTGAATTTACCAATATTTTACTCTAACTTGTGAATGTTAACGTTTAAAACTCGGTCCATTATAGGAAAAAAATAAATAAATTTGCTTCCCACGGTTGTTTCTTGAGGTTGCTTCGTATCTCGTAATGTTTCGTAATGCCTCACAATGATTTTCATAGTCGTTTAAAAGCTCTAATGTTAATATCAGTAAAATGTATTTCAGTGTTTGTGTTAACATCGAGTTCTACTGTCTAGAAAATCGTTAAATGGTTTCAGACTTTGTTACGCTTCTATATTTCTAAAAATCGTGAAAATGAAGTTTTGTATTTCGTGACTCGTGTACTTGTTCATGATTCGTGACAAGTTGGTCGACAAAATTTCCTCGTGCGCGCGAGCAGCATTTACGGCATTTTCGTCATTTGTGACATGTAAACCAAATATCAAACATGTTTGATATTTTTTGTCATTCGTGACAAAAAAATTCTAGTGTGCGGCGAGCAAACGACAAGCGCGCCTGAATAGGAAAATTTGCGCATGCGTGCAACTTGCAGAATTAAAAACAAGATATGAGCTCGTGATTTTGATCCGCCATGTCGTTTTTAATTCTGCAAGTTGCACGCATGCGCAAATTTCCTATTCCAAAGTTACAAAAGGTGAAAACAATACAAAAGTGACAAAAAGTTAAAATAATGCAAAAGCGACAAAAAGTGAAAATGATACAAAAGTGACAAAAAATGAAAATAATACAGTGACAAAAAGTGAAAATAATACAAAAGTGACAAAAAGTGAAAATAATACAAAAGTTACAAAAGGTGAAAACAATACAAAAGTGAAAATAATACAAAAGTGACAAAAAGTGAAAATAATACAAAAGTGACAAAAAGTGAAAATAATACAAAAGTTACAAAAGGTGAAAACAATACAAAAGTTACAAAAGGTGAAAACAATACAAAAGTGACAAAAAGTGAAAATAA